TTCTTCCCTTTTTTAAAGATGGGCACTACATTAGCCTTTTTTCAGTCATCCGGGACCTCCCCGCATCGCCATGAGTTTTCAAAGATAACGGCCAATGGCTCTGCAATCACATCTGCCAACTCCTTTAGCACTCTCGGATGCAGCGCATCCAGCCCCATGGACTTGTGCTCGTCCAGCTTTTCTAAATAGACCCAAACCACTTCTTTCTCCACAGAGGGTTGGTCAACTCCTCCCCATGCTGTGCTGCCCAGTGCAGTAGTCTGGGAGCTGACCTTGTTTGTAAAGACAGAGGCAAAGAAAGCATTGAATACATTAGCTTTTTCCACATCCTCTGTCACTAGGTTGCCTCCCTCATTCAGTAAGGGGCTCACACTTTCCTTGACTTTCTTCTTGTTGCTAACATACCTGAAGAAACCCTTCTTGTTACTCTTAACATCTCTTGCTAGCTGCAACTCCAGGTGTGAATTGGCCTTCCTGATTTCACTCCTGCATGCCTGAGCAATATTTTTATACTCATCCCTGGTCATTTGTCCAATCTTCCACTTCTTGTAAGCTTCTTTTTTGTGTTTAAGATCAGCAAGGATTTCACTGTTAAGCCAAGCTGGTCGCCTGCCATATTTACTATTCTTTCTACACATTGGGATGGTTTGTCCCTGTAACCTCAATAAGGATTCTTTAAAATACAGCCAGCTCTCCTGGACTCCTTTCCCCCTCATGTTATTCTCCCAGGGGATCTTGCCCATCAGTCCCCTGAGGGAGTTAAAGTCTGCTTTTCTGAAGTCCAGGGTCTGTATTCTGCTGCTCTCCTTTCTTCCTTGTGTTAGGATCCTGAACTCGACCATTTCATGGTCACTGCCTCCCAGGTTCCCATCCACTTTTGCTTCCCCTACTAATTCTTCCCGGTTTGTGAGCAGCAGGTCAAGAAGAGCTCTGCCCCTAGTTGGTTCCTCCAGCACTTGCACCAGGAAATTGTCCCCTACATTTTCCAAAAACTTCCTGGATTGCCTGTGCACTGCTGTATTGCTCTCCCAGCAGATATCAGGGTGATTGAAGTCTCTCAGGAGAGCCAGGGCCTGCAATCTAGTAACTTCTGCGAGTTGTTGGAAGAAAGCCTCGTCCACCTCATCCCCCTGGTCTGGTGATCTATAGCAGACTCCCACCATGACATCACCCTTGTTGCTCACACTTCTAAACTTAATCCAGAGACTCTCAGGTTTTTCTGCAGTTTCATACTGGAGCTCTGAGCAGTCATACTGCTCTCTTACATACAGTGCAACTCCCCCACCTTTTCTGCCCTTCCTGTCATAGAATATCAGGGTTGGAAGGGACCTCAGGAGGTCATCTAGTCCAACCCCCTGCTCAAAGCAGGACCAATCCCCAATTTTTGCCCCATATCCCTAAATGGCCCCCTCAAGGATTGAACTCACAACCCTGGGTTTAGCAGGCCAAAGCTCAAACCACTGAGCTATCCCTCCCCCCCCCCCCCAAAGCTGTCAGGAAGCGGTCCTTCCTGAACAGCTTATATCCATCCATGACAGTACTCCAGTCATGTGAGTTATCCCACCAAGTCTCTGTTATTCCAATCACATCATAATTCCTTGACTGTGCTAGAACTTCCAGTTCTCCCTGCTTGCTTCCCAGGCTTCGTGCATTTGTATATAGGCACTTGAAGTAACCTGCTGATCGCCCCTCTTTCTCAGTGTGAGGCAGGAGCCCTCCCCTCTCACGCGCTCCTGCTCGTGCCTCCTCCTGGTATCCCACTTCCGCACTTACCTCAGGGCTTTGGTCTCCTTCCCCCGGTGAACCTCGTTTAAAGCCCTCCTCACTAGGTTAGCCAGCCTGCTTGCGAAGATGCTCTTCCCTCTCTTCGTTAGGTGGAACCCGTCTCTGCCTAGCACTCCTCCTTCTTGGAACACCATCCCACGGTCAAAGAATCCAAAGCCTTCTCTCCGACACCACCTGCATAGCCATTCGTTGACTTCCATGATTCGACGGTCTCTACCCAGGCCGTTTTATAGCTGGCTTGGCTGGGCTCAGCTATTTAGAGAGGGATCGGTGATATTCAGGACCCTAAAGTGAATCCTTACCACCAGAATGGCACTCCCAGTGCCAGCAGTCTTCTTCCCCCCACCCCACCCACCATCCTGCCCTTCTCTACTTTTAACTCTGTCCAGGCTCCCTTACCCAACCGGGCCGGACTGCAATCTCAGTCAGGGTGACCCCAGGCACATTAGGTGTTCCTTTCTTGTCCCTTCATTTCATTTCATTGCCCGCAAACTCAAAACGTAATTGTATTTTAACCAAGATGCCCACAGCATCACAGAACAAATGCACATGAGGCCTGGTCCATTCAGGTTGTCTACACTAGAAGCACTACAGCTGTGCAACTGTAGTGTTTCCAAAGGGATCTTCCGACGCTGTAGTAAATCCACCCCCTTTGGAGGTGGTAGCTGGGTCACTGGAAGAATTCTTCCATCAACCTAGTGCTGTCTGCGCTGGGACTCAGGTGGGCTTAACAATGTCTGAGGGGTATGAATTTTTCATACCCCTGAATGATGTAGTTGGGTTGACCTGACTTTCCAGTCTAGCCAGCCCCTTGCTCTGTAACCAATGCCATCAGATAGCACTGTCCCCTGTGGAGCGCTCAAGCAACTCTGGGCTGCTCTTTTCCCATTTCACCAACGGATGTCCACAGTAAGGTCTACTCCCTATGGCTTCAGGCCATAGGATCCACACAAATCTTAGTAATGGTTAGGCTGCTGATGAGCTGCCTGTTGTGCTGACCAATTGTCTCATTGTTTCTTTGTACTCCCTGCCTGTATCCTTGTGACAGGGGCTATCCTTTTGTGTTGTGACTGTACAGCACCTAGCACAATGGAGTCCTGTTTTGTGATGAGGGCTCCTAGATGTTATAATAATAATAATAATAATGGAGTAGTTAACCTCCAAGAAGAAAGGTAAGGCCTAACTCTTCATGATGCCCTGCCCACCTTACAAAACCACAACAATCTCCATCTATCTGTGTACTGAAAAGACAGTACGTTCTTAGCATCCCACATTGTCAGTTTATACAATGTGACCAGATGCTCAGATAACTCATCACTATGGTAAGTGTCTCAGAGGGATTTGTTATTTTCCTTCCCAAATGTACATTTGGGGCAGGGTCTGGCTTAGCATCGGTCTCGTACAGTACTGAGTTCCCTGTTGATGCTTTACGAATACCGCTACTGATAATTATGCTACTGCAAGGATCGACAAGTCACTAGTAAAGAAGACTTTTTGCACATGTGAATACACGGGGCAAAATCCTCACTGGCAAGACACTGATTTCAATGATTACTCCTCCATTCCATGGGTGACTGCTAACTGACCTAATGCAACATCAATCACTAAGTCAGAAAGTCAAAAGCAAATATGTTGTATGTCAGCTTCTTCATTTCTTTACCACCTTTTCCCCCTCACGTTGTCCAAGTGCATTGCATCAGTCTCCATCATCAGGACTGCTTCTTCCTAGTTGCCAGATACAAGTACGTGGAAAGCATCTTAACGTGGGCTTCTCCTCCTCACTACAATAAAGGTAGTGAAGAAATGTGAGCAAGCCTCTGGTCATTGAGAAGCCATGACTAAAAGGTTAACCAGAGCAGAAGTCCAAGCACCTCATAGCAGGAAGTTATTAGGATCCTCTCATATTAGAGGATTTCAAAACACTTTGCTCAGTACAATCAGCATCTCCTCCAGAGCTCATGTTCGCACCTTTTTCAATTTCCTCTGCTTTTACGCACTATTTCTACGGCATCGTCCTAACCTGGTGTCGCAGTGTATGCTTTTTACTATATAGTTCCATCTGACTTTTGGCCTTCCTTACGTTTACAGGCATGCATACTAAACATCAGTGAAATTAATCTCACATTTCAGGTGGTGGAGCAATCATTTCTGGGATCAGGAAGTTTTTGCCTCCCCCCATTCAGCACTGTACTATGTGCAGGGTCAGAGCTAGTCTTTACAAAGCTCATAACCACAGGCCTCTCTTACTTTGGAATCCTTGAAATGTCAGAGTTGGTTACAACTTTCATTTTTAAGAAATTAGATCCTAACACCACTCCTTGCAAAGAGATCCTTGAAAATCTAAAGTGATCAATTGCTAGGTTTGAAAAAGTTTGCCACCGATTTTCCCAAGGAACAGGGTTATTCATAGTCTCCACCCACCCTCCCTCCCTCCGTCTTCAGTCACTTGTGGGAAAGAGACTCAAACAGCCTGCTTTCCCCAGCATAGCATCCTGATTGTGCAATGAGCTGCCTTAGATAAACCCCTCTACCCACATCCAATGCTGCCCTAGCCAGCCTGGCTCTTGGTCACATGATTAGTCACAACCTCCCCCCATCCCAGGACAATATCCTCCATCAGTCCCTCTGGATTATACACCCTAGAATTCCCACCCTTAAAAGGCAGATGCCTCATAACTAGAGCTGGTTGAAAATAGTAAGCAATTTCCAAAAAGCAATTTGGAAAAAAAAAAGTCGTACAGAATTTGTTTAGTGAAAAAAACTTAAAAAAATGTAGTTTGAGAATTTTAGATCCGTTTTAGGACCTCTCACATTTTCACTCCTTTTTGCAGGAGGATGTATCCCCTGCTGCAACACGTGAGCAAGTGACACTACCCCACTGCTCCCAATACTCAACACCTGCTACTCAAAGCCCCAAAGTTCCTTCCCCCCCCTCCCCCCGGCTTTACGGGTAAAGCCAACATGAATCTCATTCAAAGATTTCTCCCTAAACCTTGCTGTTTGTAGGATTTCTCGCAGATCTCCCATGTCTGCCCCTGACTCCACCCAGCCAGAGGCTCATAACAACCTCGCTTACATGCTAGTGCATAAAAACTTACTCTGCATTTCTATGCGGTGATACAACTCTTACTTGCAGGGTGAGTTCAATAGGAGAGGTAGGATCACAACATCTGCCATACTTATGTGCTCATAACTTTAAAGAAAAAACTACTGACCTGATTTTCTTCCAACTTGGCTGCAGATCTCAATGATCTTTGCAAAATAAGCCAAGAGTGATATTTTTGCCTTTGGAGTCTCAACTATACATGTGCAAAGTTTCCTGACTGAATATTTCCCTCTGCCCTCCCCCATATAGAACAAGAACAACTGACCTGATTCCGCTAATGTTTTCCAGAACGCTTAACCTTTGACCTGACACACAAGCAAGGAAAATTTCAGCCCAAAATGAACTAGTATGACAGAGTTATGAGCAACTGGAGGAAAAGAAAGGAAGATTAGAATGGAAGATAGATCTCATCCTTAATGAGAATATGAATTAGCCACACTTTCTGTAACTCAGACTTTTGCTTATCAGATTCTTTACTGCAACTCCAGCCATCTGGCCTTCTTCAGGAAGACAAAAATATCCGTCTGTTTAAAAAGTATAATTGTGTTTTCACATGAAATACTATGCGGCTTACTGCAGCTCCTTGTCTCCATAGACCAAGTAAATGAAACTGAGAAAGAAAGAAAGTGAGAAATCTTGTAGAGGGGGGAAGCCACCTGACTCTCCTCTGATGTTCTGACTCAATGCTTTGATGTTAGGCAGTTAGAGAGGGCAGCACTAGTCAAGAGACCTTTGGAAAAAGAACAGGATCACGCTCAGATGAGTAATTATACACACATTCATTAATGAAGGCTAAACCAACACAAGAATGGATTAGTACCTAAATAATTTTGTTGGAGAAAAAGGTGGGGCGTATACTGGCCTCAAACTTTCAAAAGACACAAGTGATTTTGGGTGCCCAATCTGAGACACTGTAAGGGGGCCCATTTTCAAGTGTGAGTGCTCAGCACTCTCTGATAAATCAGGGTCTTTTAAAGGTGTCTCAAATTGGGCATCCAAAAGTCACTTGCAAACTTGGTACGGTGCACAGGCAAAGTTTTAGTAAACAGGTTCTCCTAATTGAGTTCTGCATGGTGCCTCCCTCAACTATTTTTAAAAATTAAAAACAGCACACTCACCCACGCATCACTCTGTCCAAACTATGCCGAGTCCCTTAATGCCCGTGGTGAATAAATGCTGTTTATCGCTCTCTATGATGTAATAGTCTATTATAGAGATTTCAAAGTGATTACAACTTTGTGAAAGAATGTTTCCAACAACAAGACATTTATTGGAATTCCGGTTAAAGGGGATTTCCAGTGTGTATGGAGGATAGAAAGAAATCAGTCATGTCTCTTTAAACAAAAGCTCTAGCATTTTGTTAGTGTACACTAAGGTCCACTCCTGAACTCACGAGAAAAGCAAAAGTAAGATAGCTTTGTTCATTTGAAATGAAGCTACAACACAGTAGCATTAAGGAAAGAAATCCTCAGCCCCAACTCATGTTAAAAGAGAGGAGGAAGTAATGGATGGGACCAACTGCTTCTGCCATGAGCAGTGACACTTTACACTGTAAAAGGATCCAGTGCTCATGCTCCCATTCAAAGGGGACATTGGCTGCCCCTCTACATAGACTCGTGCAATGGGTGTCACTTCCACAAAGTACAAAGGTGTAGACATTTCCCTTTACAGGATATTCCCACAGGTTAGTCCCCTTATCATACATAAACACATAGATCCTGCTACTTTGGGTCTTTGCAGATCATTCCAGAGAACTTTAGGATTTGCCCTTAAGATGCCTAGGAAACATTTAGTTAAGAATTATATATATATATATATATATATATAAAAATTGAAAGGCTTCTGAAATGGTGGCAGATTTTTTTTCTAGAATTCCCATTCAGTGTGTAGGGCTTTTACCCTGTCTCAGTACAGACTGCCACTTGAACGATATTCCCCAAGAGAAACCCACTCAGCTCACATATCACAGTACAACTGAAAGAACTAGCTTGGAAAATTTCAGATTCCCCATGCTTTCTAATAGCAAAACTGCCACAGAAGTTAGATGGGCAGTGGGGCTTGAAACTCAGGAAACCTGGGTTTGAATCCTGGCTCTGCCACTAATCACAGGCAAGTCATTTCATCGCTCTGTGGCCTCCTTCCCCTCCCTTCGTCCATTTAGATTATAAAAACCCATCAGAACAGAAAGCACCTTTTGTACAGTGCCTGCTACAATGGTGCCCTGATCTCCATTAAGGGGATTTCATTCATTTAACACAGGCCTGTTTTTATGAGAAAGAAAGGACCACTTGTAAAACTCAATATGTAACAATTTGATAATAAGATAGTATTGTAAGAAATCCAAGTGGAATCACTTATTTTCTAGGACATTGCATGTGATCAGAAAATGCAACCTGGACTATGGCATAAAAATGAATTCACTACATATCCCCCTTTCTCTGTCAAGCATGCTTATACACAGTATAATCACAGCACTTAGGTCTGGATCTTACTGTGCTTCCATATACAAAACTCCCATCCACTTCAACAGGAGGGACGCATACACAAGGACCAGAGATTATAAAGCGAGAGGAGCTTTCCCAGGCTAGATTGGCAAGCCTAGAACTCTTTCATCTTGCGAAAAGGAGCACTTGTGGCACCTTAGAGACTAGCAAATTTATTTGAGCATAAGCTTTCGTGAGCTACAGCTCACTTCATCAGATGCATTCAGTGGAAAGTACAATGGGGATATTTATATACACAGAGAACATGAAACAAAAGGGTGTTACCATACACACTGTAACCAGAGTGATCACTTAAGGTGAGCTATTACCAGCAGGAGAGCCGGGGGGAGGGGGGGGGGGGGAGGATGGGGAGGGCTGGGAATCCTTTTGTAGTGATAATCAAGGTGGGCCATTCCCAGCAGTTGACAAGAACATCTGAGGAACAGTGGGGGCGGGGGGGGAATAAACATGGGGAAATAGTTTTACTTTGTGTAATGACACATCCACTCCCAGTCTCTATTCAAGCCTAAGTTAATTGTATCCAGTTTGCAAATTAATTCCAATTCAGCAGTCTCTCCTTGGAGTCTGTTTTTGAAGTTTTTTTGTTGAGGAAGTGCCACTTTTAGGTCTGTAATCGAGTGAGCAGAGAGATTGAATTGTTCTCTGACTGGTTTTTGAATGTTATAATTCTTGACGTCTGATTTGTGTCCATTTATTCTTTTACGTAGAGACTGTCCAGTTTGACCAATGTACATGGCAGAGGGCCATTGCTGGCACATATCACAGTGGTAGATGTGCGGGTGAACGAGCCTCTGATAGTGTGGCTGATGTGATTAGGTCCTATGATGGTGTCCCCTGAATAGACACGTGGACACGGTTGGCAGCGGCTTTGTTGCAAGCATATGTTCCTGGGTTAGTGGTTCTGTTGTGTGGTGTGTGGTTGCTGGTGAGCATTTGCTTCAGGTTGGGGGCCTGTCCGTAAGCAAGGACTGGCCTGTCTCCCAAGATCTGTGAGAGTGATGGGTCATCCTTCAGGATAGGTTGTAGATCCTTGATGATGCGTTGGAGAGGTTTTAGTTGGGGGCTGACACAAATCAGACATCAAGAATTATAACATTCAAAAACCAGTTGGAGAACAATTCAATCTCTCTGGTCACTCGATTACAGACCTAAAAGTTGCAATTCTTCAACAAAAAAAACTTCAAAAACAAACTCCAACGAGAGACTGCTGAATTGGAATTAATTTACAAACTGGATACAATTAACAGGCTTGAATAGAGACTGGGAGTGGATGGATCATTACACAAAGTAAAACTATTTCCCCATGTTTATTCCCCCCCCCACTGTTCCTCAGATGTTCCTGTCAACTGTTGGAAATGGCCCACCTTGATCATCACTACAAAAGGATCCCCCCCCCACTCTCCTGCTGGTAATAGCTCACCTTAAGTGATCACTCTGGTTACAGTGTGTATGGTAACACCCATTGTTTCATGTTCTCTGTGTATATAAGTCTCCCCACTGTATTTTCCACTGAATGTATCCAATGAAGTGAGCTGTAGCTCACAAAAGCTTATGCTCAAATAAATTGGTTAGTCTCTAAGGTGCCACAAGTCCTACTTTTCTTTTTGCGAATACAGACTAACACAGCTGCTACTCTGAAACGTTTCATCTTGCGATTACTCATCATTGGGGGACAGTAACCTGTAGCATGGACTGCAGTGAATGTGCAGCTTACAAGCAAGAAAGAGATGGAAGTTAAAAGCAAAAGAAGTGTCCAACACTGTAGAAAAGTGCCTAGTAAAAGAACTCACAAGCCTGCTTATTTTGGCCATAGTTTTGCATGGGAATTCAACACAATGTACTGGTGTCTCTTTAGCAATAGGCTTTCGTGGAACATACATTCAGTTCTGCACATTGCATAACCTGTTCTAGTTAAAGTTAAATCCACATTTAGAGGGTGACAAATTAAAAAGTTAATATGTAATTCTTTTAAAGCAACTGACCTCATTCTTCCTTTATCTTCTGTTGTGCAATCAAGTGCTGATCAAAGTGCGCTGATGAACACAGTTCCTTCCAAGGAACAAAGCTTACAGATTCACATCCTATTTCTGAGGCTTCTAGATATCTCAACCACAGGGACTGTAGTGTTTTGTGGTCTGTGTGTAATTGGCTTTCACAAGAAGCATAAGCATCCTAAGAAAAGCAACCAGAAGAGAGGTTGTAAACAACACTCAACAACTAATATACAGTAAGTGAGAATGGTGCTACAGTATACATACAAGCATGTCTATAGCATTATTATTAAAACAGGAAGCAATGTGATCTAGTGATTAGAGCATAGAGCAGGATTCAGGAGACCTGGGTTCCTGGCTCTGACACAGGCCTGCTTGGCCTTGGGCAAGTCACTTCACCCCGACTCAGTTTCCCCATTTGTAAAATAGGGATGATGACACTGAAAAGCCGTTTAAGCTCTACTGATGAAAAGCACCCTATAAGAGCCAGGTATAAGCATCACCCGTGCCAGCCAGGGACACACGAGGTTTGTATTTTACAGATTAAATCAAATCCATTTTGGTAATGCACCCAGAGCACAGAGTATGAGTCTGGAGGTGAACTCTGTACAAGTTATCCTCTGAATAAAATATCTATTCCTTTTTCTTAATGATACAATCTAGGACACAAGATGTGAAAAACTGGTTAAGCTACTATCAAAACTTCTCATTCCTTACTTTCTAAAAGGAAAAATA